GCTTGGACATACGCATCCATCTATGAAACCATCACCACCAGGAACAGACATAAATCCATCACCTCTAAGTTTCTTAGTGCTTCTTTGTTTTTCTTTTGGGGCGGGGAGTTTGTTTGTTTGTTGCTGGTTTAAAAATACTTAACATGACATCTACCCTCGTAACAGAATTTTAAGTGCACAATACAGTATTGTGAACTGGAACCACGCTGTTGTGCGTGGATCTCCAGAATTCATTCATCTTGTATAACTGAAACTTTGTACCCATTGACTAAACCAACCTTAATGTCCCTGCCGCAGGCGCCTGGCCACATGTCCCCCTTCCCATTTCCTGCCACTGATGGAAAGAGGAAAAAGAGAGAAAGAATTTTGGTCACCTTCTGTTCAGTTTAACTGCCTCTCTGATTTCTCTATCCCTCAGGACTCCCCACACAGGGACAGTTATTTTGCCATTTTGCCATAATAAATGTTTTTATATAACATTAATAAATGTTTTTATATAACCTTCTAACAGGTATTGTGTGTATTCGTGAACATATTTGCATGTACGCTTAATTTTGTCTCAGGATATATGGATTAAAAACACATAATAAGAGCTTTTAATTACAAAGACCTTACCACAATGCGTCATCAAATCTTCATGGAAATCCAATAGTTGGTCACGAATTTCTTCTGGACACGGACATTCACTTTTGTCATCCTTAAAATTGAGAAGCATATTGATCTGAAAGTTTGAAAAACAAGAAAGAGGAAGAAGGAGAAAGAAAAGAAAGGTGAATTCAAGAATGGCACAGCAGGGCTGGGCGGAGTGGCTCACGCCGGTAATCCCAGCACTTTGGGAGGCTGAGGCGGGCAGATCACGAGGTCAGGAGTTCAAGACCAGTCTGGTCAATATGGTGAAAAACCATCTCTACTAAAAATACAAAAATTAGTTGGGTGTGGTGGTGCACCCCTGTAGTCCCAGCTACTTAGGAGGCTGAGGCAGGAGAATTGCTTGAACCTGGGAAGCGGAGGTTGCAGTGAGCCAAGATCGTGCCACTACACTCCAGCCTGGGCGACAGAGTGAGACTTGGTCTCAAAAAAAAAAAAAAAAAAAAGGCACAGCAACTACCAAAAAAGCAAAAATGCTCAAAATCTCTGATTGTTCATAAATTATTCCTCCACAGGTGTCCATCACACAACCCAACCAGTACTGCAGAATAAATCAAATCATTCATAGCTTAACAAGCTGCAAAATAGTTATATAATCTTTCTTCCTCTTTCTCAAGTCCACAATATGTTACACTCTTATATACTTTAAGAATTCTTAACTAAGAGATCTAAAGGCTATTTTTAAAAAGTGTTGTATTATGCTTATCCTAAATTTCCATTATTTTCTAGCTAACACCTCTACTTTATAGAGCATTTATTGAATATTTAAAAGAACTCTTTTTGAGAACACAGACACAAAGAAGGAAAAATATAATTGAAAAGTAACATTGGTTTGAGTATCCCTTATCTGAAATGCTTGGGCCCAGAAGTGTTTCAGACATAGGATTTTTTTTTTTTCAGAGTTTGGAATACAATCATCCTTTAGAATCCACAGAGAATTGGTTCCAGGACCCTCCATAGAGACAAAAAGCCACAGATGATCAAGTCTCTTATATGAAATGGCACAGAAACTGCATATAACCTATGTATACCCTCTCACATATTTTAAATCATCTCTAAATTACTTATAATACCTAATACAGTGCTGACACATCACTTCATTTAAGTGGATTAGACATAGTACTGGGTGTACAGCAAATTCAAGTTTTGTGCTTTGGAACTTTGTAGAATTTTTTTGAATATTTTCAAGATACAGTTGGTTGAATCCACAGATGTAGAACCCACAGATAGAGAGGACCAGCTCCATTTGCATACAAATGTGGTATTTTGAGGATAGAACCCAAGTCTAAAAATGAAAGTCACCTATGTTTCATACACACCTTACACACATAGCCTGAAGGAAATTTTATAAAATATTTTAAATAACTTTGTGCATGAAATAAACTTTGTACTAAGTATTTACATGTGGAATTTTCCACTTGTGGTATCATGTCAGTGCTCCAAATGTTTTGGATTTTGGAGTATTCTGGGTTTTGAATTTTCGTATTAGGCATGG